CTGAAATTCCATTGGTATAAAAAGAAAAAAAGAGTTGCTGGTATTTACTGCTAGAGCCACCCAACTGTGGAACTCGCCACTCCCCTTGACCCTAGTCTGCAACAGTTGGATTTTAACCTTTAGGGTAGGTGACTAGTAGGGAGTTGGGAGACCAGTGAGCACTCCAACAAGGATTTGGTGGAGATTGTGGTTATTTTTACTCTGCCAGAGTATACTCTCAGAGAATTAATTGCTGACTTTATGTATGAGTTGTATTTTAAGTGTGTGTGTGTCAAAGGCACCTACCACCTGGGATGAGCGCTCTTTTATTTAGTTAGTACAAATCTCAATAAATAAGTAGTAGAAAAGAAGGAGACAAAGAGTCTTAGTGGTCCTGTTGTATATAGAAAACTAGCACAATTAGTTTAACATAGGATAAAAAGTAGTGAAAGAAATGTCTCAATAATTTTACTTTAAATCAAGACAGCTTGGGACATGATGTCTTTCTGAAAGGACAAGCCTGAGAGAACAGTTATTTTGGCTCATTCTACTGTGAATACTGAAAACATCACCCATGTGCAACACAAGACCCATTGATTGAATGCCAAAAGTTGGTCTGGCAGGGAATGCTAAGTAGTATCTGCCCAAATCTGCTTTTAGTAATGATTAGATGGGTTCCCCTACTGATAGCTTTGTTTTCAAGCCCTTGTTGCCCTAGATATTCCATAGACACAAAGTGATGGCAAATGAGCCCTGCACATGGCTTGAGCTACCAGCACCACTGTTACTGTAGGAACCCAAGTGTACAAACTGGTCTTTGGAAGTTAGTTTCCTTAGTCAATATTAATTTACCACAAGTGGTTTTCCCTGACTCCTGCCCACTTCAGCTGCCACCTGTCATGTAAGTGCTGCAGTGGAGCCTAATTGTGGCTTTGTGGTGTATGGTGTAATAATAGGCAGCAGGTTTAAAACACACCGAAGAAAGTATTTCTTCACACAACACATGGTCAACCTGTGGAACTCTTTGCCAGAGGATGTTGTGAAGGCCACAACTATAACAGGGTTCAAAAAAGAACTAGATAAATTCATAGAGGATAGGTCCATCAATGGCTATTAGCCAGGATGGGCGCGGATGGTGGCTCTAGCCTCTGTTTGCCAGAAGCTGGGAATGGACGATGGGATGGATCATTTGATGATTACCTGTTCTGTTCATTCCCTGTGGGGCACCTGACATTGGCCACTGTCAGAAGACAGGATACTGGGCTAGGTGGACCTTTGGTCTGACCCAGTATGGCCATTCTTATCTTCTTATGACTTAAAAATATTAATCCACACTGTCTCTGTGAAGTAGATAAGCATTTTGGAGTCCCCACACTTTACAGATGGGGAAACTCACAGAAGTTAAATCAAAGTCTCAGAGTTTACCAGTGGTGTAGCTGGGAGTAGGACTCAGGATCCCTGGCTCCCAATCTACCAAACTATGCATGCTACTACATAATAGCTTCTTTAAGGATGGTGGCTTTCCCAGGCCCTTGGACTGAAATATTTAGTAATTATAATGCTTCTCCTTTGTGGCTAACTAACAGGGTGACATGACCCTTAAGAATTAGAATCAGAAAGACTTATGTCAGTAAAAGTGCTTCAAGCCAGTATAAAGTCTATTTCTGGAGTACAGTTTGAGGTTGTTTCCTGGTTGGCACAAAACTGGTGCTTTTCTTTCTTTCTTCTTCTCCCTCCAAGCTTCCTCTCTTGCATCAGAATTTGAGGTTTTTAAAGTCTTCCCTTCCCCCTCCCCCCGCTCCCTTATTTCTCCTCTGCTCCTTCAGATGCCTGATCTTGTTTCTCCTTTTGGCAGGGCTTTTTTTTAATCTCCATAACTCATTCAGGTCCTTGGTAAAATAATTTAAAATTGGTCTGGGAAGGCCAGTATGTTATTGTGAAGATAGCTCCCCTCTCTAGTCCTGACTCAGCCCAACACAAGCAGCAAAGGTTTTAAGGATGTCACTAAAAGCCTTATACTACTCTGCATCAAATTCTGGTCCACCAGAAGTCCATGAGCAAGTTCCCACTGACTTCAGTGGGACCAGGATTTGGCCCTTTGGTATCTGGTTCTTGCTGCTTCAGGCATGGAGGTGAGTAGAGATAGCAAGAGCAGAGTTGAGAAGTTTCTGCACTGAAGCTACGGGAAAGAGAGTTTCTGGGGAAATGAGGTGAGTCTCTGTCCCATCTCCTTTGGGGACAGAGGTGGTGGGGTGACTCTGGCTCATTTCTCAGGGGAGTTTGTCCCAGTGGGTCACTGAGGAGGGGCTGGCTGGTGCTGCAGGGGAGGCAGCAGCCTCCTCCTTTGGCAATGTGCTGTGTCATCTTGGCCTGGCCACCTCTGGGCCTTGGGAGGGAGCTAAGAGGACCTGAAGTGCTTAGTGCAGAGAGCATTTTTGTAGGGTAAGCAGCAAGAGTCACATTAAGGTGTGTCAGAGTCAGGCCTAACACTAGCTGGACAAAGAGGTACCTGCAATGGCAGAAAGAACTTCATCTGAACAGACAGAGATATGCTTCCTTCACCTTAGTAATAATCACCAGACACTTTGCTTCCCACCCCTTTCTGGAGCAGTAACTACAGAGGATAGTGAGCTCTATGTTTCTGCTGCAGACAGGACTCAAAGTGGAAACTGCTGCTTTCACAGGGGGTAAAATGTATTGTCCCTTTTGGGGGTTGGAGGCATAGGCGCCGACTTTTACAGGCGCCAGTGGGTGCTCAACCCCTCTTCCCCCAGCCCCACCCTGACTCCACCCCTGCCCCGCCCGCCCCTGCCCCACTCCCATTCCAACCCCTTCCCCAAAGTCCCCACCCCAATTCCACCCCTTCCCTGCCCCTATTCCAACCCCTTTCCCAAATCCCTGCCCCAGCCCCGCCTCTTCCCCACCTCCTCCCCTGACTGCGCCACGTCCCCACTTCTCTCCTCTCCCTCCCAGAGCTTGTTACGCCATGAAACAGCTGTTTTGCAGTGGCAAGCGCTGGGAGGAGAAGTGGGGAAGCGACGCACTCAGGGAAGGAAGTGGAGGTGAGGTGAGATGGGGTGGCGGGGGTGGGGCGCTTGGCTGCTGGTAGGTGCAGAGCACCCACCATTTTTTCCCCGTGGGTTCTCCAGCCCTGGAGCACCCATGGAGTTGGTGTGTATGGTTGGAGGGATCCTCCAGGACTAGGGAATATGGGACAGTCTTTTCCCTGTGCGCCAGTGCCATGAGTCTGGCTCATTATGCTCCCCCACCCCACACACACCAGCAGAGGGACCAGTTTGCTTCAATGCTTAATTTGTGCCAGGGCTTACCAGGGCTAAGCCCCAGCATCTCTAGGCTTGGCAGTTCATAGCCTCAGCACCTATGGGCTTGATACAGAGTCTGAATGAGCTCTCCCCTGTCGTCTAGCAATGAGTTGTGGAAGAGGACTTCAGGAGCTGATCTCATTTGCATGGGCACACCTAGGTGCTCATTAGCATGATGGGATTGCTTGCAAAATTATCACTTTTGGCTGGTGTTGGATCCTGTTTCCTTGTTATTGGGGCAGGAGTAATAAAGGGCTGTTATCTTTGTTCTGTGAATCAAGGGCAACAGAATTGTACTTGGCATACCCTGATTGAGAGACTTACCCTCAACTAAATGGCACTTGATAGGCAGGGGACATGGGTTCCAAAAGCCACAGGGAGAGATGCCAGCATCAGGGTTTTAGACATAATCTGATTTTTCCTCTCTTCACTGCATAATAAAAGAGCTAAGTTAGATTCAATTGAGAGTTTTATTACATACTGCAGAGCTGAAATCTCTGATATCTAGGTCTAAGCATTAGATCTGCTTTGGGATAGTGTCTCTAATACAAGAGACTGAGTAGCGTGCACTGCACCAGCAGTGAGGCTCCTCCACTAACAACTGAAATCACTGAGAGCTGTGTTAAGTGGTGGGACCTGAAGACGTTCTGATGGGTTGGCAATCAGCTGGCAGAGAGTACTGGAGCAGAGCCCCACAGAGAGGTGTGGCAATCGGCCTTTGACCAGCAGGGCGGCTGGCAAAGAGGCATGGAGTGTCAGTCTGGTAGCTGGCAAAGAGGAGCGGCGAGCAAGTGCCAGGGTAGCAGAGTGAATAAGGTGCCTTGGTATACCTCTCCACCCAGGATGGGAGGTGAACTCTGGAGATGCACCTCTTAAGTTTGGGTCTGTGCTGTCCGAGGACAGTAACTGTGAGTGGGGTGCAGAGAAGGGACAGGCATGTTAAAGGGACTTTTGGTTGCTGGACTTAAGAACCTGAGAGAAAAGAATACTGTCCAACCTCCTTGGGGGTGAGGCTTTTGTTCATGGTTTCTGTTTATGAACCCTGTTTGTGGTGTTTTCCCAAATTAATGCTAAGTTATTTCCCTCCTTTTATAGTTTTTTTTTTCTACACTCAGACTCTGTGCTTGTGAGAGGGGAAGTATTACCTCTTAGAGATGCCCAGGGGGTGGTGTGTAATTCTCAGGTCACTAGATGTGGCCTCGAGTCACTTTTGTGTTGTATTGTTGGAAAGGAACCCCTAGATACTGAACCCAGTCCTTCTTGCTGCCACTTCTGACTGACAGAAGGGTTATAAATGTGAAAAAATTGCTTGAGCCCCAGCACCCCTTTTATTGTAAATTAAGCCCTGGTCTGCCCCCAACTCTCTGCAGCAAAAGGAGCAGCAGGGTGAACCGATATCTGCCCTCCCATCGCGAAGAGCATTGCTGGGTTAGAGCTCATCCCCTGGAGTAAATCTCCGCCTAGTCCCAAGGGAGGTGGTGGGATTATCCTCCGTCACCCAGTGGGTAGAGTTATTCCAGGTGGGCAGTGGGAGACTCCGCCTAGCAGGGTACCTGCCCTGGGCTTCTACAGGAGGCCGGGTGGAGAGTCTGTCACTTTCCCCAGCAGAAGGAGTCCTGCCCCATGGCTGGGGAGGGGTGCTGTGGGCCACGCCCCCGCCCGGCCCCACGGGGTGTGGATGCGATGGACGGGCGACTCTGAGTCTGTCTCTCCCATCCAGCTGGCAGGGAGCAGGCAGGCAACCCCCATGAGGTGACTGGCTACCGGCTCACATCACTGCGGGGTGAGGGGCGAGTCTCAGCCCCATCTCCCCGTGGTGGGAGGCGAGTCTCCGCCCCACCCCTGTGAGGGGTCGCCCCAGTGGGGCAGGGGGCGGACGCCGGCGGCAGGCGGCGGCCGGTCTCCTCCTTTGGCGCTGCGCGGGGTCCGCTCTGGGGGGAGCGGGAGGCGGAGCCGCAGCCCGCAGCCGCCGCAGCCCCGGCTCCTCAGGCCCGGGAGCGCCATGGCCCAGGCCGGGGTCAGCTCTAAGGCCAGCGAGGGACAGACGGCGGGGCAGCTCCGCGGGCGCTTCTTCCGCTCCACCTCCATGGCCGCCTGCTCCGGCCGCCTGCTGCAGAACCTGGACGAGCTGGAGCTCAGGTACGGCCCGGCTGGGGTCGCGGCCCGGCGCGCGGCCGGGGGTCTGGCAGTGCAGAGGGGGCTGGGGGCTCCTGCTAGTGCGGCAGGGTATTTTTTGGGGAGGGGAGAAGGTGTCCTGCTAGTGCGGCAGGGTATGGGGGCGGGGCGGGGGAAGATGTCCTGCTAGTGCGCAGGGCATTTTTTGAGGGATCTTGCTAATGCTGCAGTAAGGACTGTTGAAGTGTGTTTCTGCAATTGGAGAGGAGCCCTGCTAGAGATGTGCTCAGCCAGTGGCGGTGGAGTGAGTGTATTGGAAGCCTCAGGAGTTTGATGCTGTTGCTGATTTCTTGTCTCCCATCTGTGCGTCTATTCCTGCCACCGGACTTGAATGAAAAAGAAGTTTGCTCCTGCTGGAATTTAAGCAGGCTGTGAGTGAAGAGCACAGCTGCTTCCACTGCAGTGCGGGGGGAGAGGGGGGACTGGGGAGAGACCTAAATATAGTTTCCAGGCTCATGGGGGTAGAAAGACACAGTTGTCATCATAAAGAAAAGGAAAACTTATGGCACCTTAGAGACTAACCAATTTATTTGAGCATGAGCTTTCGTGAGCTACAGCTCACTTCATCGGATGCTCAGTTGCATCTGATGAAGTGAGCTGTAGCTCAGGAAAGCTCATGCTCAAATAAATTAGTTAGTCTCTAAGGTGCCACAAGTACTCCTTTTCTTTTTGCAAATACAGACTAACACGGCTGCTACTCTGAAAGTTGGCATTATAGAGACCCTGTGGTCGCACACATTTATTCAGGTGACACCATCATAGGATCTAATCATATTAGCCACACCATCAGGGGCTCATTCATCTGCACATCTACCAATGTGATATATGCCATCATGTGCCAGCAATACCCCTCTGCCATGTACATTGGTTAAACTGGACAGTCTCTACGTAAAAGAATAAATGGACACAAATCAGATGTCAAGAATCATAACATTCAAAAACCGGTAGGAGAACACTTCAACCTCTCTGGCCACTCAAAGATTTAAGGGTGGCAATTTTGCAACAGAAAAGCTTCAAAAACAGACTCCAAGGAGAAACTGCTGAGCTTGAATTAATATGCAAACTAGATACCATTAACTTGGGTTTGAATAGAGACTGGGAATGGCTGGGTCATTACACATATTGAATCTATTTCCCTAAGTTAAGTATCCTCACACCTTCTTGTCAACTGTCTAAATGGGCCATCTTGATTATCACTACAAAAGTTTTTTTCTCCTGCTGATAATAGCTCATCTTAACTAATTAGCCTCTCACAGTTTGTAAGGTAACTTCCAACTTATCTATATGTGTGTATATATATCTATATATCTATCTTCTTACTATACGTTCCATTCTATGCATCCGATGAAGTAGGCTGTAGCCCACGAAAGCTTATGCTCTAATAAATTTGTTAGTCTCTAAGGTGCCACAAGTACTCCTGTTCTTTTTGCAGATACAGACTAACACAGCTGCTACTCTGAAACATGTGGTCACACTTCTTACTGAACACAGCATATTTGAATTTTGGAGGGTTAGGCAGCAGGGGAGCCCTTTGCTTAATAAGGGGAGCTCCATTTTCCTTAGAGAATCATCTTGTTTCACAGAAGATACAATAATCCAGTGGAGCCAGGGTGCCATTTCAGGTTTTAGTAGGAGAGGGCAAATTTAACTGATTGCAGGGGCTAGTTAGGCACATGAAAACTCTAGGATTATGGGTTTTTGTTTTTGTTTTTTCTTCAGATAATTTAGAAATTAGCTGTCAGGAGCACTGTATCTAATTCCTATGTAAAGAAAAAGATATACAAACACTAGTTAAAGCCATATTTTAAGTTCATATGTACGATCAGGAGATAATACAGCAAGATATTCCCAATCCCTGAGGTATCAGTTTTGGAGCCTTAACAAAGATATCAAAACATAAGTTTGATCCTTTGTACACTATCTTTAGTGGAGAGAAATAAAAATAAGAAATATCTGCTTAAAATATGCATACTTTCTCTAACAGACACACTCTGTGTTGCTGCCATTATCTACTCTATTTTAGTCCATTGTTGTTCACTCCACTAAAAACATATTTACTTTAACATATGTGATTACATTTTTTTTCTCTTTATTTTGGCATATATGTTCATAGGCGCTGACTCTCTGGGTGCCCTGGGGCTGGATATACGTTCTAGAAGGATACTATTGTTTGATTACACCACTTTAAATAAAGAATGACAAAGCACAATATGGTAATAAAAGTAATAAAGATAATTACTGCAGCCAAGACAGGTTAGGTGTGTTAGAACTCACTATTCAAATAATTAAATTTAAGCATAAGAGAGAAATAAAATTATGAAATGCACAGACCAGTCACAAAACTAAAATAACAGTACTGCAATCCTTAATGAACTGTGAAAGAATAATATTAGAGAATATATGTGCATTGTGCATTTCGACAGGAAGTATCAAGAAGTAACACCATCAACAACAATAATTATAATACAAGTGTGTGTGTGTGTGTGAGTGCACTGTCGCTTTAAGTCAAACACTCAGGAGCCTGAAGGCTTGTTCAGTTCAGCCCCAGCTCCTGCTCCTGAGCCAGAGGCACCAGCACAGACAGAGTCTCCCTGTCCCCCCGACCCCAGCTCAGTGAAGACAGGGTACATGGGCGGGAGGAGGGGGACACCAGCCCCTGCCTGCCTCTGTGCAGCAGATCAGGAGGCAGCTCCCAGTCCTGAGCAGTTTGGCCAGTGACAGCTCCATTGAACAATCCCAATCTTTTCAGTCTCTCTTCAAATGAGTTTTTCCACGTCCCTGAATCCCCTCTAATTCTGCTGTATCCTTTTTTGAGGTGGGGTGATCAGAACAGCACACAGTATTCTAAGTGAGGGTATACCATTGATTTATACAATATTGTAATATATTTTCCCTATTGTTCTTCATCCCATTTTTTATGCATATAACAGCTTGTTAGCTTTTTTGACTACAGCTGCACATTGAGCAGAGGTTTTTGTTTAGCTGTCCACAATGATTACCAAGTCCCTTTCCTGAGTTGATCCAGTTAAAAGAGAACTGTACAAGGTGTAGGCGTAGTTTGTGTTTTTGCCTCCAGTGTGCATTACTTCACAATTTGTTTTAGTTGTAGTAATTTTAGATGTTACTTGTAATTACAGGAGTGAAAATTGTCAGACAGGAATACGGTTTTCAACTGATTTCTTTCCTTGGCCTCCCGCATCCCCAAAGACAGTACCCTGCTGTGATATCAGTTTCCTCATCTTCCCTGCTGCGTTCAAGAAAATCTGTTCCACAAATGAAACTGTTGACTAGTTCATCTTTTGTTACAACTAGGGATTATCCCCCGTCTCACCAATCTATGAGAATAGTAGGGTTTCTGCATACAAGAGTAGTCAGTGGATTAAAAAAAAAGTCACTGCTTTAAAGAATGAAGTGCTGCTTCTAGGCAGCAACACCAACAATCTTTCTTTGAATGGTGTTAGTGTGGCTGGGGAGTGTAATTTAATATACATCATATTGCACTGAGTGAAATAAAACTATTTGTTGGATTATTCTTGGTAATATAAATGGTGAAATGCAGTTGAACACAGTACAAACCTACCATTCTCACTGAAGTGATGACACTGGGGACACAGAACTATAAAATTATTAGTTTAATCATATAATTCTTAACCCATAACTAGTTTTCCCGCATTTATTCCAACCCCAGTTCTGAGGGTAGGCTTCAAAAGTAAAAGCTAGTAAATCTGAGATAAAGGGGAGAGGATATGTTGGAATTGGGCTCCATTGGTAGAAGTTGTTTAGGCCTGGTCTACACTAGTGAGGGTGGATCGATCTAAGATATGTCGACTTCAGCTACGCTATTCTCATAGCTGAAGTTGCGTATCTTAGATCGACTTAGAATCACTTACGTCTTGTCCTCGCTGCACGGGATCGATGGCCACCGCTCCCCCGTCAACTCCGCTTCCGCCTCTCGCCGTGGTGGAGTTCCGGAATCGACAGCAGAGGGATATCCCCGATAGATTGATCACTACCTGCCGATCCAAGGCCTTAGATTTGCTAGCTTGGTTGTCAAGGAATTGTTCCAGCCAGAAAATTGGATATTTGTTATTTCTACAGGCCTGGAGGTTTTCCATTGCCATGACTTCCCTTTTCCTCCAAAAAAGCTCATCTGCATCTATATATAGGTCATGGTATTCTGGTGTCCATAAGTAAGTGAATTAAGAGCTCTCTAAAAATATATGCAAGCTAAGTATTTAATCACATTCCCTACAGTACTCTATTGCTTCCCTTAAAGTGTGTCTCTGTCCTTCTGAAACTACAGGGGAACTTTTTTTCTTAAGTAGGTGTTTATTAAGTAGGATACCTCAGAACAGAAACACAGAGGTGCTAAATAGTTCATCATATTACATTGAAAAAGCTTCACTTTGTGTTGCTGCATTGTGTTTATCACTGTTTCAAAAGAGGCTGCACAGTGAAACACACAAAACCTACCAACAATTACTAACCAATTTAAAAGTTTACTTTGCTGCATAACCTTTATATAGAGCAATTCGAATAAGTCAAAATGCTTTAAAATACAGATAAGTATTACAGCTCCAGTAAAAAGGCAAGTGTCAAATTACTCATCTGGAAATGAAAGTGCAGACTGGCCTATCTGTTCCATGGGGGAATGTTGTGGTCAGATAAGTGACATGTACTAGAGCAGGGATGGGCAAACTATGGCCCGGGGGCTACATCCGCATGTGCCATGGCTCCCAGAAGCAGTGGCATGTCCCCCCTCCGGCCATACCTCCGCATAGGAGCCTGAGGGGGGACGTGCCGCTGCTTCCAGGAGCTGCTTGAGGTAAGCACCGCCCAGATCCTGCACTCCTGACCCCTTCCTGTGCCCTAACCCCTGACCCAGCCCTGATCCCCTTCCCGCCCTCTGAACCCCTCGGTCCCAGCCCGGAGCACTCTCCTGCACCCCCAACCCTCATCCCCAG